ATAAAGGTTCGGGAATTCTGAGATCAAAGTCAGAATTCTGAGATCAAAGTCACAATTCTGAGATCAAAGTCACAATTCTGAGATCAAAGTCACAATTCTGAGATCAAAGTCACAATTCTGAGATCAAAGTCACAATTCTGAGATCAAAGTCACAATTCTGAGATCAAAGTCAGAATTCTTAGATTAAAGTCAGAATTCTGACTTTTTTTCCCCATACTATACGGAAATAAAATAAAAAATCAGTTAACATTTTTTTTTTCCAGTGGCCCTAATCCTCTTCCGTAGGTTCTGGAGGAATCCAGAACCTTCCGGCTGCAGCTTCAGGATAAAACGGTCCTGATGCTGCAGCAGCAAAATCCAACTCTGTTTATCACTGAAAGACGGGAGCAGAGCGGGAGGATGAACAGACTGCATGGGGTCAACAGGGTTCTTTAAAATCAAGATACATTTTATTTCTTTTTCTTAAAAAACAAACATTACAAAAAAATCTGAATAGAGAATTAGATCAATGAACCGACAAGGAGAAAAAAAAAAAAAACATTCTTGTTTTAAACTCTCAAAACAAAAACCCCTCCTGTTGCATTCTGAAAACAAAAGCAGGATGTGGAGATGCCTGGCTCAAGGGAACGGATGGTGCGTCGGCCTGCGGGGGGCGCCGTCTGCGACAGCAGGAGAAACGAGACAGAAGAAAGAGAAAAAAAAACAGCAGCTGACGGGAAAAAGGAAGGAAAAACAAAACCTGACTGATTGGAAAGCTGAGAAAAAAACAACGACGCAGAGAAGAAGAAGGAGGCGGCTTTAAATACGATGCCACAACGCCCCCCTGAACGCCCGCAACCTGGAACAACCACATCAGCCAAGCTCCGCCCACCGATAGGACCGCCGTCTGCAGAGGCAGAACGCTCCGCCCACCGATAGAACAGCCGTCTGCAGAGGCAGAACGCTCCGCCCACCCATGGGACCGCCGTCTGCAGAGGCAGAACGCTCCGCCCACCGATAGAACAGCCGTCTGCAGAGGCAGAACGCTCCGCCCACCCATGGGACCGCCGTCTGCAGAGGCAGAACGCTCCGCCCACCGATAGGACCGCCGTCTGCAGAGCGCCGCGTCTCTGCTCACCGATAGGACCGCCGTCTGCAGAGGCAGAACGCTCCGCCCACCGATAGGACCGCCGTCTGCAGAGGCAGAACGCTCCGCCCACCGATAGGACCGCCGTCTGCAGAGACAGAACGCTCCGCCCACCGATAGGACCGCCGTCTGCAGAGGCAGAACTCTCCGCCCACCGATAGGACCGCCGTCTGCAGAGGCAGAACGCTCCGCCCACCGATAGGACCGCCGTCTGCAGAGCGCCGCGTCTCTGCTCGGCCAGATGCTCTAATACTGAGACAGAGGGGAGAAGCGGCGCTGAAATGCGATATAAAAAGCATAAGGAGTTGCGAGCACGAAGCAGCATTTCCTCCGACCGTTGAGCCAGGCAGCTTGGAGGGGAAAGTCAAAAAAAAAAAAAAAAACAGAAAAAAAAAGCAGAGCGACAAAAGAAAAGCAACATTTCATCAGAGACAGAAAGACGCGCTGCAGACGGAGAGCCTCCTCTAGTCTTCCCCAGACGGCGCCTCCTCTTCTGAGCCGTTCTCTTCCTCCTCATCTTCCTCCTCCTCCTCCTCTTCCTCTCCTCCTGCAGACTCCTTTGTTGTCTTGGGGGCGGGGGAAGTCTCCTCCTTCTTCTCGCCTGCCTCCTCCTCTTCCTCCTCCAGAGGACTCTCTGGCTCCTCCTCCTCCTCCTCTTTGGGTGAGCTCTTCTCCACAGTCTTGGAGCTGGGGCGTCCCTTCCCCTTTCCTTTCATGGGGCTCGGGGTGACTGCAGGGAAGAAGAAGAAGACGGTTCAGGGCGGCCATCGCTGCCTCAGAGTGATGGCACTAAGACCGGAGCAGACGCTACCTGTGGCCTTTAGTCGCGGTTTAGGGCTCTTCTTCTCCTTCTTGTCTGGCCGTCCTCGTCGAATCACCTTCTTTCCTTTCTTCTTGGAGCGGCCATAGTCGCTGTCATCATCATCCTCCACCATGAAGTCTTCATCGCTGCCAGACTCGTCAGCTGTGGGGAACACAGAGATTCCAGTTTCATTAAACTGAAGCAGAGGATCATGGGAAAAGCAGAGGATCATGGGAAAAGCAGAGGATCATGGGAAAAGCTGTTTGAAAAGTGCAGCTCGCCATGTTCTGAGGAAAACCGGATCTATCTGCAATCAGTGGCCGATGGAATGTTGAACCCAGGGCTCCGCTTCACCAAGCAGGCCTAAACTGATCCAGCCTAAAGTCTAAATGGATCCAGCCTAAAGTCTGAATTGATCCAGCCTAAATTGATCCAGCCTAAATTGATCCAGTCTGAATTGATCCAGCCTAAAGTCTAAATTGATCCAGCCTAAAGTCTGAATCAATCCAGACTAAAGTCTGAATCAATCCAGACTAAAGTCTGAATCAATCCAGACTAAAGTCTGAATTGATCCAGTCTAAATTGATCCAGCCTAAAGTCTAAATTGATCCAGTCTAAATTGATCCAGCCTAAAGTCTAAATGGATCCAGCCTAAAGTCTGAATTGATCCAGCCTAAAGTCTGAATTGATCCAGCCTAAATTGATCCAGTCTGAATTGATCCAGCCTAAAGTCTGAATTGATCCAGCCTAAATTGATCCAGTCTGAATTGATCCAGCCTAAAGTCTGAATTGATCCCGCCTAAAGTCAGGAACAGAGTGTTCAGTTACGGCTGCTATCACTTAGCAGTAGAACCACTCAGAGTTGAAGGAGTGCGTAACGAGTATGAAAAGCCATCATCAGATTTCCCTGATTGGAAAAGTCACCATGACGACAGGAAGTGCGTATTTCACCCACTGGAACTAGAGATTTAATGAAGAAATGCAAAAAAATGAAAGAAAAAAAAAGGAGAATGTGTTTAAAAGAGAAACGGCGCTAAAGCTGCCAAGGAGAGAAAGATGGAGAACAATGTTGATCTAGTTAATATGTTTATATGAACGGGGCTATGGCAGGCCGTTTTTACATTTATTCAAAGCACTCTCCTCTCTGTTGTTCTATTTATAGATCACTAAATTAAGATTCATCCTGATCAAAATCACTCCTAGACTGAACTGTAATAGATTTTCTAAAATACACTAGGGCTGCTCCATGTTTATCTTGTTTCTGCTCGTTAGAAGCGACTGGCGCGATGTGTTGACGTCTGTACGATGCGTTCAATGGTATCACGTAATTAAGCGGGTCGACCCGGCTCTGGTGTTCTCAGTGAGCCGACCAGAGCAGAGGAGCGGGTGGCTGTGCGAGTCGTTTGACACGCGTCAGTGAGCTGTTCCCACTGCCTCTAAAAGCGGTTTAAACCGGTTTTTCCCCAGTGAGGGAGGGTTATAGTGCTTCTTTTAGCATCTAATCCCTTTAAATTTTTTTAAAAAGTGTTTTTAGTTGTCTGAGGTCTTTGTTCAGCCTTCCTAACGTCCAGATTTAGGACGCGTCAGGAAATGGCAGCAACCACACAGCTGGTTTGGAACGATGAAACCGGCTGGTATTCCTATAAATGGAGTGAATGCTTGCTTTAGTTCTACGTACGGTCCATGTAGGGCTCCTCCTGGTCTTCGTGCTCCTCATCCTCGCTGCCGCCGTCTCCCAGCAGCATCTCTCTCTGTTTTGAGACAGCCTTGGAAGCAGCCTGCCTCACCGTCCGCTTTCGACTGACCTCCTTGTCATCGTCACTGTCATCTGTGGACAAATACAGACCTGTTAGGCTGCAGCTCATCACTACTGGCTTAAACTGATAGAAATTTACTCCTTAGATCTACCTAATAGGGAAAAAGAAGAAGGAGGAGGATTATTATACAGGGTTATTGCACAGGATATTAAACAGTAATTGCTCATCCTATATTGCAGGTGTTGCAGTAACAGTATCTCATCGTAGAGTCTGAATGAACTTCGCTACACGGCAGAGATAAAAGCCGAGTCCTCGTCTTTAGCCGCCTTCATGCTAACCTGGAGCCCTCTGCTGGTTGCTGTCCTCCTGACGACATTTAAACCTTTTAATCAATAATCCTCTGTGGTTCCTTTATTTTTATTGGTTAGAAACTGATAGAAAAAATAAAAAAACACACATTCGATTTGAAAAACGTCCCAATGATCTTAGGAGCTATGCTGTCTGGGGGCTTTATGCCCCCTGGTAGGGTCACCCAAGGCAGACAGGTTCGGAGTCAGACAAAGAGAAACCCAAAGACCTGCCGGACGCGGGTCACCGGGGCCCCACTCTGGAGCCACGCTGGCGAGCGCCTGGCGGCCGGGCTTTTACCCATGGAACCCGGTCTGGCACAGCCCGAAGAGGAAACATTGGCCCCCCCTCCAATGGGCTCACCACCTGTAGGAGGGGCCAAAGGGGTCGGGTGCATTGTTTGATGGATAGCGGTCGAGGGTGGGGGCCCTGACGTTCTGACCCTCAGCTGAAGAAGCTGGCTCTTGGGACGGTGGGGAAGGAGCCTGAGTTAGTGCGCGAGGTTGAAAGTTTCCAACTAGAGATAGTTGGACTTTCCGCTACGCATGGCTCTAAAACCAGACTCCTTTCCTTGAGAGGGGCTGGACATTCTCCCACTCTGGAGTTGCCCCTGGTGAGAGGCACCGAGCTGGGTGGGCATTTTGTTGCCCCCCATCGCGGCGCCTGTACGTTGGGGTTGACCCCGGTGAACCAGAGGGTCGTCTCACTCAGCATACGTGTGGGGGGACGGGTTCTGACTGTTGTTTGCGCTTATGCGCCAAACAGCAGTTCGGATTACCCACCCTGTTTGGAGTCTTTAGAGGGGTTACTGCAGAGTGCCCCTCCTGGGGACTCCCTTGTTCTTCTGGGGGACTTCAACGCTCATGTAGGCAATGACAGTGAGACCTGGCGAGGCGCGGTTGGAAGGAATGGCCCACCTGACCTGAACTCGAGCAGTGTTCTGTTGTTGGACTCGTCATGGATTGTCCATAACGAACTCCATGTTCAAGCATTAGGATGTCCATATGTGCTCTTGGCACCAGGACACCCTAGGCCGTAGTTCAAAGATCAACTATGTTGTTGTTTCATCTGACCTGCGGACGCATGTCTTGGACACTAGGGTGAAGAGAGGGGCGGAGCTTTCCACCGACCACTACCTGGTGGTGAGTTGGCTCCGATGGTGGGGGAGGACGCTGGTCAGACCTGGTAGACCCAAACGTATTGTGAGGGTTTGCTGGGAACGTCTGGCAGAGTCCCCCGTGAGAAGGAGCTTTAACTCCCATCTATGGCAGAGCTTTGAACACGTTCTGAGGGAGGTGGGGGACATGAGTCTGGATTACGGGTAAATACGCTTATTTTAGGAAATTTTAACTTATTTCTAGATGTTTTTTCTAGTGCAGGGAATGTCTGTTTATTCCCACATGTAGTGATGAGATACCACCATCTTAGAACGGAGGAAATAACCGTCAGGATGTGAAATAAAGGTTCATCCACCTGCAGCCCGTTTTCTCTTTGGGCCCCTCTTGCTGCTCTTCTCCACCTTGACTTTCTTTGCCTTCTTCCCTCTCTCTTCCTCGTAGTCGCTGCCTCCTTCCTCATCCTCCTCTTCACCAAAGTCATTGTCTTCTTCCTCCTCGCTGCCAAAGTCATCTGCAACACCATAGGAGAGGAAGTCAGAGAGTGAGCTGGACGGCGCGGCGATCGCAGCGTGAAACGCCGCCTTACCTGCTGAATCGTTTTTAGATTTGGACAGCTTCTCATCAGAATCCTCACTGTGTAAAAAGAGACAGATTAGATTAGATTAAAGCTAAACCAGATGCAGCGTTCCTCGCCGAACGCCCTCTGACATCACACCCGTTTCTAAGAGCCAGGTGACGTCTGGCCACATGGAGACGCGTTTAGATGGAATCAGCTCCTCTGGTCATTCAGGTTCATTTAGTAGAAAAATAAAATCAGATCACAGACAGGAAACAAAACTAAAGTCATTTCAAAAACTTAAAATGCTTAAAAAAAAAACAATCGAGGAGGAATGGGAGGAAACTGGAGTCACCGTCTGAGTCCGAACTGTAAGAAAGGCTTAAAGGAAATGGGATTTCTATCCAGGAAAGCATCATCAACACCTAAAGTCAGAACGGGCTGAGGAGAAGCAATGGTGGACTGAGGATGACTGGATGGAAGTCATTCAGTGATGAATCTCTTATCAGCGTTGGATGATGCTGGAACTTTGGTCCAATGAGACTTTTTAAGAGGAGAACCTGAACAGGACCTGCTAATGTCCACAGTCACTGATGGCTGCCGTTACATCTTCAATCAATGAACAAGTTTACATTGAGAATTTGGACACACTTCTCATCCCATCAGTTGAAAGGATGTTTGGGGATGATTAAATCAGTTTGCAGCTTGCCATAAAGCAAAAACTGTGAAAACATTACTTAAAAAAACAAAATAGGTCGATGTGATGGTCTGCAAACAGCCCAGATCTTATGATGAGGATCCAACCAGCAGGGAGAGCTGGAGCCGGACTGATGAAAAGTCCCAAGGAAGAGTCTCGCTGAAGATTCTCGATGAAGATTTTAGATAGAGTCCCGAGGAAGAGTCTCGATGAAGAGTCCTGTTTGTCTCTCCTTAACGACCAGCTGTTAGAAAAGGTGCTGCGACTGAACACTAGTGATGAGTTGAAGCGTTCTGTAGTTTTTTCCCTCTGCTTGGTGTAATAAAGTAACCGTTACTGAAAACCATGTTTTATAATTCTATTTCTTTTATTCGTTCTTAAAGCCAGAAAGTTCCGGTGTGAAATGACTTTAGTTTAGTTTGTGGTGATCCGACAGTTTTCTACTAAATGAACCGTCTGAATGAAGAGAGGCGGGTTCCTCCAGCGTGTTTCCAGGGCTTATAAATGTGAGCTTTGCCGTTAAAGAAGAGGCAGGAGCAGAGGCTCCCACCTGTCCTCACCTGTCATCCTGTGAATTCTTCGAGCGCTTGTGCTTCGGCTCACGAGGGGGTGGGCGCACCTTCTTAGGCTTGTCCTCACTATACTCCTCATCTGCAGATGGATAGAAAAAGCAGATCAGCTCATCATGCCTTCCGGGCTGCATCTTACCGTTTTTATTTGAATTAATCTGAATTATTCATCCTCACTAATTGTAAAAGAATATATTCATTTTACATTTAAGATCAAAAATCTTTCCTCTCCATCAATCTGCTCTAAAAGCAGAACTACTCAAAGTAGAAAAGTTAAAGTTTCATTTAATAAATAATCAGATATCATATCAGATAAATGGATTTGCTGAATAATGGTTAGTTGCAGCTCCTGACAGGTTAGAGTTCTTTAGGGAAACTGCGTCGGCCAATCAGTGACCAGATTAGCGCTAACTAGCTGTGACCAAGCTAACAATCCATTAATCTGGATTATAAATTCTGTTTGGACGTGTGCAGAAGCAGAAACTGCTGGAATATTTATGAACAGCTAACTCCTTTATCACTGCAGTACCGCCTCTCTACCACTGGCGGCGCACTACAGCAACAAGCAGCGCCCCCAACAGCTCACCCAATGATTTACTGGGGCAGTCTAAATCAATAAGGTTCTTCCATGCTCCGATTCCAACATTCCTAATAAGAGGGGGGACTCTGGGATTCCGCCGTTGCTCACCTGCATCGTCGGACTCGTTGAATTGTGAGTAGTTCACCACTTTCCTGTTCCTGTGGACATAAACGCAGACATTGGGTCAGATCTCTGGCTGAAGGAGCTCCTCCTCATCAAGGCCAGGAAACAGAAACTGGGACAGGATGCATCAGCGGGTTATTCAGAGCTCCTGTGCTTTCCAGGGTTACCGTGGTTACCTGGAGAACTTTGGATCACGCAACACACGTTAGTAAACATCAAACCACATTTATGAAATCAGCTAATTAAAGTCTAGCTCAGCCAACACACCATCACTATAACGAGTTATTTTATAGTGAAGTCACGGATTGTAGGACCTCAGCAAACGGGCTGCTTCTTCAATTAAATCTGTTTTCCATTGGAAATGAACTAATTATAGTTTAAGTCGCCTTCGTTCATTCTCCCCTCACTATGGAGCAACAGAACAGCAGCACTACAGTAATAGTGCTGCTGTTCACATTGAGCCGTGAGTAAAATGATTTAATATGTATTAGTTTTAAAAACAAGCGGTGATACCAGCCCTGACCAATCAGTGACCAACAGTCCTCTGACATCACCTCAGAGCGCTTTGCTCCACCAGTAGAAATGGATCCTCGTAGCGCTGACTGAGACTGACAGGTGGAAACTGGGAAACACTAACCAGTGGAAACGCTCACCGGGGGAAAGGCTCACCGGGGGAAAGGCTCACCGGGGGGAAACGCTCACCGGGGGGAAACGCTCACCGGGGGGAAACGCTCACCGGGGGGAAATGCTCACCGGGGGAAACGCTCACCGGAGGAAACGCTCACCGGGGGAAACGCTCACCGGAGGAAAGGCTCACCGGAGGAAACGCTCACCGGAGGAAACGCTAAATGGAGGAAACGCTCACCGGGGGAAACGCTCACCGGGGGGAAAGGTAAACGGGGGAAACGCTCACCGGGGAAAACGCTCACTGGAGGAAAAGCTCACCGGGGGGAAAGGTAAACGGGGGAAACGCTCACCGCGGAAAACGCTCACTGGAGGAAAAGCTCACTGGAGGAAAAGCTCACTGGAGGAAAAGCTCACTGGAGGAAACGCTAAATGGAGGAAACGCTCACTGGGGGAAACGCTCACTGGGGGAAACGCTCACTGGGGGAAACGCTAAATGGAGGAAACGCTCACTGGAGGAAACGCTCACTGGAGGAAACGCTCACTGGAGGAAACGCTAAATGGAGGAAACGCTCACTGGGGGAAACGCTCACTGGGGGAAACGCTCACTGGGGGAAACGCTAAATGGAGGAAACGCTCACTGGAGGAAACGCTCACTGGAGGAAACGCTCACTGGAGGAAAGACTAAATGGAGGAAACGCTAAATGGAGGAAACGCTCACTGGAGAAAACGCTCACTGGGGGAAACGCTCACTGGAGGAAACGCTCACTGGAGGAAACACTAAATGGAGGAAACGCTCACTGGAGGAAACGCTCACTGGAGGAAACGCTCACTGGGGGAAACACTAAATGGAGGAAACGCTCACTGGAGGAAACGCTCACTGGAGGAAACGCTCACTGGAGGAAACGCTCACTGGAGGAAACGCTCACTGGAGGAAACGCTCACTGGAGGAAACGCTAAATGGAGGAAACGCTCACTGGAGGAAACGCTCACTGGAGGAAACGCTCACTGGGGGAAACGCTCACTGGGGGAAACGCTCACTGGAGGAAACGCTCACTGGAGGAAACGCTCACTGGGGGAAACGCTCACTGGAGGAAACGCTCACTGGAGGAAACGCTCACTGGAGGAAACGCTCACTGGGGGAAACGCTCACTGGGGGAAACACTAAATGGAGGAAACGCTCACCGGGGGAAACGCTCACCGGAGGAAACGCTCACCGGGGGAAACGCTCACCGGAGGAAAGGCTCACCGGAGGAAAGGCTCACCGGAGGAAACGCTCACCGGAGGAAACGCTAAATGGAGGAAACGCTAAATGGAGGAAACGCTCACCGGGGGAAACGCTCACCGGGGGGAAAGGTAAACGGGGGAAACGCTCACCGGGGAAAACGCTCACTGGAGGAAAAGCTCACCGGGGGGAAAGGTAAACGGGGGAAACGCTCACCGGGGAAAACGCTCACTGGAGGAAAAGCTCACTGGAGGAAAAGCTCACTGGAGGAAACGCTAAATGGAGGAAACGCTCACTGGGGGAAACGCTCACTGGGGGAAACGCTCACTGGGGGAAACGCTAAATGGAGGAAACGCTCACTGGAGGAAACGCTCACTGGAGGAAACGCTCACTGGAGGAAACGCTAAATGGAGGAAACGCTCACTGGGGGAAACGCTCACTGGGGGAAACGCTCACTGGGGGAAACGCTAAATGGAGGAAACGCTCACTGGAGGAAACGCTCACTGGAGGAAACGCTCACTGGAGGAAAGACTAAATGGAGGAAACGCTAAATGGAGGAAACGCTCACTGGAGAAAATGCTCACTGGGGGAAACGCTCACTGGAGGAAACGCTCACTGGAGGAAACACTAAATGGAGGAAACGCTCACTGGAGGAAACGCTCACTGGAGGAAACGCTCACTGGGGGAAACACTAAATGGAGGAAACGCTCACTGGAGGAAACGCTCACTGGAGGAAACGCTCACTGGAGGAAACGCTCACTGGAGGAAACGCTCACTGGAGGAAACGCTAAATGGAGGAAACGCTCACTGGAGGAAACGCTCACTGGAGGAAACGCTCACTGGGGGAAACGCTCACTGGGGGAAACGCTAAATGGAGGAAACGCTCACTGGAGGAAACGCTCACTGGAGGAAACGCTAAATGGAGGAAACGCTCACTGGAGGAAACGCTCACTGGAGGAAACGCTCACTGGGGGAAACACTAAATGGAGGAAACGCTCACTGGGGGAAACGCTCACTGGAGGAAACGCTAAATGGAGGAAACGCTCACTGGAGGAAACGCTCACTGGAGGAAACGCTCACTGGGGGAAACGCTCACTGGAGGAAACGCTCACTGGAGGAAACGCTCACTGGGGGAAACGCTCACTGGAGGAAACGCTCACTGGAGGAAACGCTCACTGGAGGAAACGCTCACTGGGGGAAACGCTCACTGGGGGAAACACTAAATGGAGGAAACGCTCACTGGGGGAAACGCTCACTGGAGGAAACGCTCACTGGAGGAAACGCTCACTGGAGGAAACGCTCACTGGAGGAAACGCTCACTGGGGGAAACGCTCACTGGGGGAAACACTAAATGGAGGAAACGCTCACTGGGGGAAACGTTAAATAGTGGAAATGCAGAGCAGAAGAATAGAGCTACATCCATGTTTACCCCCCCCAGCAACTCTGATCACTAGTATTGGATAACAGATCCTATAGTTATAACAGGCTTCCCTATAATATTGCACATTTCACTGACACCAAGCAGCTGTCCATCAATGCAACGCCCCCATCTCACCGACCACCAGCACCCCCTGGTGGACTGAAAACATTTATCTGAAGACAAAATAAAAACCCAAACTCTGAGGAAAAAGGTTCCTATAAGAAGACTTTGCAACGCGATCCTTACGATAGATATGATTTATTCAATTACGGTTTTAGTGGAAAGTTACTTTATTTAAATATTAGACTCAGACTAAGTAAGCCTCTAATTAAAATCTTGATCCCGTTCAGGGAAGTGAGTCAGCTGACTGACCAGGCGATGATGCGTTCCGCTGATGGTTATCAGAGAACCGCGCCGAGCCCGACTGATGAACACTAGCTTTAGCTCGGTTCAGTGGCGTCCGCCACGGTGCGGCTCCATTCAACCGTTGCCTTGGTTACTGTGCTCGGACCGTCAGCAGGCCAGTGGAAATGGAGGCAGTAGAAACTGTTCCCAAGGGGAGGGGCATCAGAACGTTCTTGGAGCTGATTGGGTAGCCGCCTCCGTTTTACAGCTAGCAGTCAACCGATCAATCAAATCCGGTCGGAAACACGCAGCCACCATCCACTCCGCAAAAATGGTAAATGGTAAATGTCCTGTACTTATATAGCGCCTTTATTCAAGTTAGGAGACTTGACCAAAGCGCTTTACACTACATTCATTCACCCATTCACTCACACACTGATGGTGGCAAGCTACATTGTAGCCACAGCTGCCCTGGGGCTCACTGACAGAAGCGAGGCTGCCGTACACTGGCGCCACCGCGCCCTCTGACCACCATCAGTAGACAATGCAGGTGAAGTGTCTTGCCCAAGGGCACAACGACAATGGAAGTCGGAGTCGGGGCTTGAACCGTCAACCCTTCGATTTCAGGGCAAACTCCTACATCCAACGCCACTGTCGCAAAGGCAACAATTGCGTCATTTTTGCTTGTTGATCAGAAAAAAAATCAAAGCTATTCCACCTGAAACAGGTGAAACGTTTCTGCACCGAGGCCAAACGATTCAGGATGTGAAACACGGTCCGTGGCCCACGATTGGATCCTGACACGTCAATCAAGGGTGTCTGCTGGTCCCTCCCCCCTGTGCGTGTCGTAACTCGTCAGCGAGTCTCTTAGCTCAGTCTTCCATATTGTCTCGATAGCAGCGAAGGAAAGCAGTAGCTCTACTGAAGACAAACAGGCTCCAACGCCTCAACAAAGAACAAGATATAACAAATAAAATTAATTTTACTTAATTTTATTCTAAAAAACCTAAATTTATCCTAGACTAATTCATAAACAGTGAACCATCATCTCTGATTCAACAGGCTTTGCTGAAGACTGACTGAACTTTTCCAGAACACCTGATTTCACATAAAGTACGGAAGAGGATTAGGGCCACTGAAAAAAAAAGAGTAAACTGATTTTTACATTTTATTTCAGTATAGTATGGGAAAAAAGTCAGAATTCTGAGATTAAAGTCAGAATTCTGACTTTAATCTCAGAATTCTGACTTTTTTCTCAGAATTCTGACTTTTTTCTCATACTATACTGAAATATAATTAAAAAAGAAATCAGTTAGCTTTCTTTTTTTTCAGTGGCCCTAATCCTCTTCCGTATAAAGTGTTTCTCTACACATATTTAATATATATATTTAAATCAATGCTGTTATTTTCCATTATTCTAATTCATTATTACTTTTTTGATTTTCAATGTTTTTTACCCAGACTTCACCTTTAAACTTTAATAATAATTAATTACAGGTTGATTGTCTGTTTATAGTTCTACCAGCATTAGAGAGTAAATATTAAATTGAAAGAAGCTACTGAATGTTAATTTCTTTCCTTTTAAAGGAGAAGTTCGGTTTTTTACACTTTAAGCCCATTTTCTGTAGTGTCCAGGATGAAATCGAATGATCGACACCAAAAGTTTGACAATTGCTCCTGTCTCTGCTTTTTGGCTCATGCAGAATCCCCCCCTGGCTGCTTTAGAATGGCTAGCATAGAGCATGTCCGGTAATGTCCTTAAAACAACCTTAAACGTTCTTTTTTTAAAATATGCTACTCACCGTGTCGTCAGCGCTGTTCAATGACATTTCAAAAAAAGTTTCGTAAAGAAAAAACGTTCCTGTAGTGTTTTATTTAGCATTTTGTAAATCCCATTGAGTTCTGTAGGAATAGTCAATATTCCGCTGCCACCGGAA